GGTCCATTTACCATCCATTTATTATAAGTTGTGTATTTGTAGTTTTTGCTATTATTGCTATTGGTTATGGTGGGTCTGGGAATATCACTGCAACATCTGAGGTGGCAATAAATTGGCTGTCAGACAATCAGAGGTTGTAAACAGGCCAACAGATAATATTCAGATCATCTAAACCACTTTATATTATTTGGAGGTAAAACTGAGAGTGAACACACACATAATGGCAATAATGTCACCCTATTCGACTGGAAAACGGTATGCATTAAAAGGTCTGTTCACTGTGGTTAATGTTTTTAAGTTTGGTTATAATTTTGGGTAACACTAGCTCATTTTTCATTGTTTTCTATTTAAAAATGTTTAGCTAATGTTTGGACTTACTTACTTACTTTAAAACCTGTTTCTTGTTGCAGCAAACTTATTTTTATTTTATTACCAACAACAAGACCCAAGTTTTACTGCAATCAACTGGAATTATCCTTTAATAATCAACTTAGAGCTGCCATATTTTCTCACAATGCAGTTCCTCTCAAAACATTGATTAATTATGAAAGAATTAAAAAATGTTTTAAAGGTTTTTGTTTCCCAAAAAGGTAAAAGAAAATGTTTTATTAAAAATGTATTTATTAAAATGGAGTCATGTATTTGCATGATTATTCACAGTGCATCTAGAGCACAAGGGTTGTTAATAACTCACAGAATAGCCTCTTTCATTAACAAAACTTAATTACACCAATAAAAGTTTCCCTCTTGAAGTTACAAAATGTGTTATTGGCCAGTAGTGATTAGCCAAAATACTTTTACAAGACATCATTATACACAGCAACTGAATCCCCTAAGTGTTATCCAATATTCGGCATATTCTAAACTTCACAAAGCAAAGGCCATTCCAATCAAACCACCTCTAATCATTACTGTCAGTGAGTCCCTGAGGTGGATGTAATGTGTCTTGCTCCCTGATAAAGCTTCTGTGTGCTGGCAGGTCTAGAAATATGCTGAAACATCTGTGAAGCTACTTGCGCTCCTAACGTTTCACTCCGCTCCCAGCTAAAGCAAACAAGGGGAAACATATTGGGAAGGAATTAAGGGCAGATTTGAGACAGGCTGTATTGTTAAGCCTTCACCACTGACATGTCTGTTTCAGTCAATGTCTACAGAAGGCCTGACCTGGCAACCACTTTATGGACCTGGCATGCCAAGCCAAGATTTGTGAGACACTGATTTGAAAGGTCTGGAGGTTTAGAATGTATATCTATTAGGAAGGGTACTTTTTTGGGGAGACTATTTTCAGGCTGCATGTGTGTTTGAGGGTTTTGTTAAATAAGAAAGAAAAAACTGACGGAGAAAGAAAAAACTGCTAAAAAGAGACTAAATGTGAAAATTGTGCTCCGCTGAGACTAAACCTGCACTTTGCCTCCATCATGTGCACTCTATCCTTCCTATCCAAACAGATGCATTCAGGACAATCTCTACCAGTCCTCTCACTCCTGTACACACACACACACCTACACACACAGATGCACAGATGCAAACACACACAGACCAGCAGACAGACGAACACCCGCTCATTTGTTCATTTGCTAGCTGAAAAACCGAACAGATGACGGCTTCTCCTTTCGGCGTGGTGCCGGTTGTGGTGGCAGTAGCGGTGGTTGGCGGCAGCATGCTCATCATTCCACAAAACCCCAGCCAGATGTCCCCGAGCCTGGGAGGCAGGTGGGCCAGGGCCCCCCTCTGCCGCACCGCAACGGTGCTGGCAGCTCTTCAAACCTGCTGGGTATAACCTTTAATTCACATGCTTTTCCTGGCATGGCGGGCCGAGGGGCTGCCATCTGCCTGGCCTGTTGTGGTATACAGAGAGAGAGAGAGAGAG